GTGCCCTTGAGTAGTCTCTGACTCATAGTGAACCTAACTACAAAAGGAGCAAACTGTGCATAATGCTCACAACCTGCTGTGCTTAAATTTACAGCAGCCAGTCCTGTGCCATTCTATCTCCTTAAGAAGCCTCAAATCAACTTTGTCTAACTCATTACTTTGGTCAAATTTTTTTGACTACTGCTTTCATGGTGGTTACTACTGGTTTTAAAGAAAATAGAAAATGAGTAGCATAAGGACTATTGACATGGCAAGAAGTTGCACTGCAGTCCTGAAGGTATATGGTTGGAATTCACCAGCTGCTGGTCGGAAGAAGGATGAGCAATCTCCTCCTCTGCGATTAAATAAACCTGCTGGAGGGTTAGTTCTGGGTTAGTCCTGACTCTCCTGTACTCAGCAACAACATAGGTGCATTTAGACAGGAGGAGTAAAGATGGTGTGATATAGGCATCTGATCACCTCTAACTTCACAAGGAGGAAAGAGAATCACCAACAGTATTATTATCTCAAAAGTGATTCTTATGCCCGGACATATCTCCTCTTTCTAATCTTTTTACTAGTTCTGAGACTATCTGTTCCTTCAGTGTTGGAGACCACCATGGAGAGGGACTTTTGTGCTGAGAGTTAGACTTGTGCCACAATCATGTGAAGATGGCAGACCACTTACACATGATAAGCGGAAACTCAGCAAACTGAGGGACCACTAAAGTGACCAACTAATTATGTGTACACACAATATTCCCAGATAGAGTGCTAAGTCTGAATAACTACAGGGCTTCCCTGTTGTTGTTGTGTACTGTAGAGTCAGAACCGACAAATAGTGACCTTCCAGCGGGTTTTCAGAGGCAGTTAATCACACCAAGGAGATTGCCTGTCTTTCTCCCACAGAGCAATTGGTGGCCTTGAACCATATTCCTTCAGAATTGCAGTGAAGTTTTTCACTACTAGGCCACCAGTGTGACACATGGTGCTTGCCTAGGAAGTAAAGAATAAAGTTGTTTGTCTTAACTTGCTTTTAGAGAAGGCCAATAAATGTGAAGGGTTAAAGGCAATCTGGACTCTTCCCTCTCTTGAGGAGCTGAGTCCCCTGACCCCATTCTTAATGATTGTGTCTTTATTTTCTTTCAGTCCCGGTTTTGCTTACCTTTTCAAGGTACCCTGACATTGTCCCGGTTTTGCTTGCCTTTTCAAGGTACTCTGACATTGTGAGTTGTCTTCCGGATTTCTATAACACTCTTCTTCTGTAGCCATGCCCATAGGCGGATCTCTGAACCCCTTAGTTTGGTATTTGCTGTGCTTGGACAAGTTAGAAACCTCTGTTAGGTCTTCAGATAAGTCCCTGTTCACCAGTAAAACTCCTGTCCAAAGGTGCTCAGCTCTGTCATGCCATGAATCAGCACATTGACTGCAGCAGTGTCATATCAGGAGCTGGGAAGTAATTTTGCATTGTCTCCTGCATCTTCTTACCATTTGTGTTAGAGCTCTCTGGCTCGCGGGTCTAGAAGGTTCTCACCAAGGGAGCCTGTACCACTCCTGGCTCTTCTTTCTTGGTGTTTGTGAGGTCTCTTCCTTTTACCTTTTGGTATGGCTCATTTTAAGCATTGCAGGATGGTAAAATTGACCAATCTCTTTAAAGAATTGCAGACATTTTACTTGTATAGTCTCACCCCTGCAAGGATTTCATACATTTTACTTACCTTGTTAATAAGCTGTCTGATCTCCTAGGTGAACCTTCAGTAACTGATTTACATAGTTTCACTCAATCACTGTTATAAGATCATGTATAACTCTTGTTGTTAGATGTTTTCAAATCCTCTGTGACTCATCACAACCCTATGAACCTTGATTGGAACGTTGCCCTATCCTGTGCCATCCTCATGATTGATTTGTGACATACTTGACTATGCATGATTCCCACTCACTTTCTCATTGTTATTAAGTTGAAACCAACTCATAGCTGACCCTCTAGCAGGTTTTCAAAGGCTGTAAATTGTACAGAAGGAGATTGCCCATCCTCCTGAGGAGCAGTCAGTGGATTAAAACTGTTTGCTTTTGGGTTAGTAATGCAACTTCTTACCCATTAGGCCAAAGCTCTCTTATACAAGACTAATATGATCATAATATATACTTAACTGCGTTGCTAGGAGAGAATCAAAGATGGTTGTAATTAATGCTTATGGAATCAAGTGTCTGGAAATCTGAAATGATTTTACCTGATTGTCCCAAATAGAAATTGCCAGAAACTTTAATATTACCTTCCTTGTTCAATTATACCATTTAATATGCAACAACTCTTTGAAAATATGCTCCAACCCCTAGCCTGAACTCTTGGTGTATATATGTTGGAACCACCTATAGTTGATTCTCTGATGTGTTTTCAGAAGCAATAAATGGCAGGGGAAGAGATTGCGTATTATTCTCCTGTAGAGCAGCATGTGGATTTGCACCAGGGAACCTTTGTATTGGCAGCCCAATTCTTTACCACTAAGTCACAAGAGCTTCCAGCAACCTGCCTCAACTGATGTTGTTATGTGCCATCTAGACACCTGCGACTCATAGTGACCCTATGTACATTAGATCTGAAAGCTAATGCCTTATCCTGCATCAATCTCATAATCTCCAACAGACCTAATCCCATTGCTCTAGCCACTGAGTCAAACCATCTCTTCCTGGGTCTTTCTCGCCTGTGTTGTCCCTCCACCTTTCCGAGATGATGTCTTTCACTGAGGGTTGGTCCTTTCTGGCCACATACCCAAAGCATATGAGACGGAGCTTCAAAATCCTAGCCTCCAAGGAGAGACTTGGTTTCACCCTCTCTAAACAGACCTATTTGTTTTCTAGGTGGCCCATGGTATGTTCAAGACTCCAACACCACAATTCAACTGCATCAATTCTTCTGTTATCCTTAGTCACAGTCCAGCTCTCTGATGTATTAACAAGTAATTGAGAAGACCATGGACTAGATCAGGTGCACCTTAGTCTCTATACTGACATCATTGCTTCTCAGTACTCTGGAGTGATCCCTGAGAGCCAATTTACATAATACAATTAGTCTTTTGATTTCCTGACTGCTGGTGCCAAAGTGTTGATTGTGGAGCCAAGCAAGATCAAATTGTTAACAACCTCAGTGTCTTCTCCATCTATCATGGTGCTGCCAAATGGCCCACTGGTGAGAATCTTTGTCTTCTTGATGTTGAGCTTCAATCTATATTAAAGACTACAGTCCTTGACCTTCTGCTACAAGTGCTTCTGGTCCTCCTCGGTTTCAGCAAGCAACATTGTGTCATCTTCATAATGTAGGTTGATGAGTCTTCCTCCAATCCTGATGCCACGTTCCTCCTCATAAAGCCCAGCTTCCTGATGATCTGTTCTGCATATAGATTGAAAAGTATGGAAACAAGACACATCCTTGACACACTCACTTCCTGATTTTGAACCATGCAGTGTTTCCCTGCTCTGTTCTGAGGACTGTTTCCTGGTCCTAGCATAGGTTTCACATAGGCATTATTAAGTATTCTGGGATTCCCATTTTCCTCAATCTATATGCAGAACATTGTATGGGAAAATCTGCTGTCAGGAACTTCTCCAGTGTACTGAGAAGTAATGATGCCAGTCTAGAGAGTAAAGTGCACCATATCCAGGCTGTAGTTTTCACAATTACTTGCTATGTATCAGAGAGCTGGGCAATGATCAAGGATGGCAAAAGTAGAATCTACGCCTTTGAGTTGTGATGATGGAGAAGAGTCTGTCTTGGAGAGAGTGAAACCAAGTTTTTCTTTGGAAGTTAGGATTTTGAAGCTCCATCTCACATACTTTGGGCACATGTCCAGGAATTACCAGTCCTTGGAGAAGGACATTATGCTTGGAAGGGTGGAGGGACAGCGCAGGAGAAGAAGACCTCAGATAAGATGAATTGATACAGTAACTTGTGGCAATGGAGATAGGTGTGTCGGAGTCAATAAGACTGGCTCAGGATAGGGTTGGCTTCAGAGCTGTTGTACATAGGGTACCTAACAACAACATCTGAAAATGCTCCATTATTGTAGAAACAGATAACTAGCAAAACGTGTAAGAGGATCTAAAGGTGAGGGCAGACGGATGAGGATGGGGGGTAATCATAGGGTTGCACAATTTGATGGGTGGAGAGAGGGGTGGGTTCAAGAAATGGGAAAGAAAAGAAAGAAGGAAAGAAAGAAAGAAAAGAAAAAAGAAAAAAGAAGAAAGAACTAAAGGTGAGGGCAGAGGGGTGAGGATGGGGGTAATCATAGGGTTGCACAATTTGATGGGTGGAGGGAGGGGTGGGTTCAAGAAATGGGAAAGAAAAGAAAGAGTAGAGCAAG